CACCGCAGCCTTGACCTGCTGGGCTCCGGCGATCCTTCCGCCTCAGCCTTCCAAGTAGCTGGAACTACAGGTGTGCACTCTAATTTTTTATTTATTGTAGAGATGAGGTCTTGTCAAGTTGCCCAGGTGGGTCTCGAACCCACGGACTCAGGCAATCCACTCACCTCAGCCTCCCAAAGTGCTGGGATTACAGGCTGAGCCACCAAGTCTGGTCCAACATTAATTTTTAATATCAAAACTGGTCACTGAAGAGTTGTTTCTTGTATGCTTAAAATATCCTATCTACAATGAGAAAGTAGATTAAAGAAGCTAATATAAAGATGGTCTGCTTCCATTTACCTCTCCATGTAACTAATGTACAGTAAATTTTTTGTCAAGAACAATTCTAAGTCTTTAGTGAAGTTCATATACAACATGCTAAGAATTAGAAAATCAGAACTTCGAAAATTATATCTCCCAATGAATCACTGTAGTTTAACTTTTATTACCTCAACAGCAGAAAAAAAAGAAATTAAAAATTTTTAAAGGCAATAATTAACCTAAATTGAAAGGCAAAAATTTTGGCCTCCTTATTTAACATTAAATTGTAACAGAAATATATAATCTATCATAAAGTTAGTTTGGAATATCAACAGAAATAAAAAGGAATTAGAATTTTTAAGATTAAAAATTATCTATTTCATAGTAGAATAATTGTGGTGATTAAACCAATTGCATGTATCATAGTACAGTATTACTAAGATAAAAATATCTACCATACCCTAAATAGGCAATATTTGTGAGGATCTTATTTTATTTATTTTGAGTCAGGGTCTCACTCTGTCACCTAGATTAGAGCGCAATGTCATGTGCACTCTACACTGCAGCTTCGAACTCCTGGGCTCAAGTGATCGGCCTGCCTCAGCCTCCTGGGTGCTGGGAATACAGGCACACACCACCACGCCCATCTAATTTTTTATTTTTGTAGAGACAAGGTGTCACTATATTGCTCAGGTTGATCTTGAACTCCTGGGTTCAAGTGATCCTCCCACCTCAGCCTCCCAAAGTGCTGGGATTACAGGCATTAGCTACCACGCCCAGCTGAGGATCTTTTTTAAAAAGACACAGAGATAATGACCCGAACACATATATTTGAGTTAGGTTCCAACTAAGTATAAATGGCTGTATTTTATTAAATATGGTTAAGATTTAACAATGCAATATACACATGCTTAAAAAATTATGCTACAATAACATTTTGGCTAGCTTTAAATATTATATTTTAGTATTTAATAAAACTGTTTTGCCACACATTTTATTTTGTCAATAAAATATTAATCTGTGCAAGTAACGGTAAATGACTTATACTTCAAATTATGCAAACAGGAAACTCTCTATATAGACTATCAAAAAAAATTTCCCAAATATTTAAAATTTTCAAATACATTATGGCCCAATTTGATTCCTTTATCACGAAAATTATCATGAAAATTAGCCCCATAGTAAAAGTAAAAAAACTTCCTGATCTGGATTAAAAAATTATCAGGAAAATTAGCTCTATTGTTAACAGCAAAGATCCCAAACTATTCTATAGTAAAAAAGAAGAGATGATTGATTCCTTAGACTGACCTCAGCAAAATCCCATCATGGGATTAATATTCATCAACCTGACAAAGTTATGAAAATTCAAGCCTTAATCCATAGATGGTTTTATATGGATGAAAGCGCATTTTTCTCTCTACACAGTTTGCAACTTTTTTTTTTAGATTAGGAAATATATAGTTCATTTAGAAAGTAAATTTGAGAGAGAGAGAAAGAGAAAAAAGAGATTCACTTCCCCAAGGTAGGGGAGGGGACCAAAGCCAGGAAACATGGCCTGGCCATAGTTCAAAGAACACATGGCCACATCACAGCTTAGCCAGGCAATGGCTAATGTGCAATTTTTGTGACAATATTTAACATACTTACATTTTTGTCTTTCAGCCAGGGGTCCCCTGCAACAGGCTGATAACCCACAGGATATCTCCTTAAAATCTATGTGATTGTCACGATTTTCATCAAAAGCATTAAACAAACCTGTAAAACAGGAAAAGACACCATAAATCACAGCCAACAAAATGTCCTAATGTTAATACTGACAAGTTTACAAAAGGAGAGATAACTCTCATAAAATGGCTTAATTTTTAAAGAAAAGTTTACCAGTTGTTCCCAATGTCTCATGGAATATTTCTTATTCTCTTGGTATAATTATAACTAACACTTGTGATTCTAGCAGAAACTACATTACAATCCTCTAGTGTTTGGTTATGTCTGTCTTATATAAATTTTAACAGTTAAAAATGTCTATTTTTTTTGTTGGTGGTGAATTTTGTTTTGTTTTTGGTGAGATGAATGGTAAAATAAGAAAACAATCATTACAAAAAATAAACAATGAGAATATATCACTAGCAAGAATAAAACATTTTATGCATAAACCACTGTTTTTTCTCATACTCAAACTGACAACCTGGTTCATGATTACGTTAAATAAGAAGGTCAAAAGAAATCCAAAAGCAAAAGTGGTAGTCTCAAGGCAATATCTGTAGTAACTATTATCACTACCACCACAAAGGTGGGTCCTTACCCTAAAATCCTTTTCACCATTACTACTGAACACCCAGAGAAAGCTGTCATCATGAATTCTAGACATAAAAATGCCTATATATTTTAATAAGACAATAAAAATTAAAAACCCAAATAAGTCAAATTACAACTATCCTTACTTAGAAAAACTGAGAAAAACTGAATTACTTATGAAACAAGTACTTAAAGATACACTATATCATTAATAAGCTCCCATAAAGTTCTTTCATGAAGCAAAGAAAAAATACACTACAAGACAGAAATTTTCTACTGCAGCATCTTCTTTGTACTGCTTAATCTTTTATACACAATTATTTTAAATTTCAGAAATGAAAGGAATTTATAAATTAATCCTATGGCTTTCAAACTTTTCTAAAAAATATAAATGGAATAATTTTGTTTTCAAATAAAATGATACATCAATCTCCAATGTTAAAAAGGTAAAAACTGCACTGTTGAAGTAGGTAGAAACTCAGAAGTCTGTGTGCTCTGGCTTTCTTGAAGTACTCTAGAAATCTGAAGAATACAGATTGAATATTGTAAGAATCTAATTCAGTACCCTCAGTTAAAAGATTAGAAAACTAAAGTTCAGAGGGGTTAAATGATTTCCAAAAATAGGTTTTAAAAGGTCAGAACTGGAAGCAGAACTCAAGTATTCAAATTCCAAATTTGATTTTTATGATGCCCCCCATAATTACTCTTTGTATTCTTTATTTTTTTTAAAAGTCATGGCAATAAGTTTAGAGCTAGAGGGGACCTCAAAGACAATCTAGTCTAGTAGTTTCTTAATTTTTTTGTGATGAGATTCTACAGCAGTAGAATCTTCTTATGTGAAAGAGAAAAAGTGGAGGTACTCTAGCCAAGAAAGAGGCAGTGTCATGTGTGGAAACACAGAGCTCTGCCCATTCAGTGACCTCGTGCCCCTCCATGACCCTCCTGTTAATGCACTTTATTGGAGCATATAAATTAGCAAATTCAGGTTCCAAAAATTAAACTGATTTATGCAACATTAAATGTGTTGGATAGAAATAAGAGACGGTCTCAAGTGTCTTTACCAATGAACATGTGTAGAAAATAGAATGATTCCAACCTTCACTTAGAGATGGACGAATAGGTGGTGAAACCAAAGGGCCAAATGTCTCCAGATCAAATCGTCCAGTCCGGGATTGAGCCTTCAACAACCAATAGCGTTTCTCAAGATCAATGATGTCTGATTCCTCCACTGAGAGTCAAATTAAACAAGATTATAAAACCTCAGCATTCTCTACTGGACATTTAGTTCATCCTGATAATATGTCTTCCAGGGATATATTCTAGTGTTACAATTCAATTGTTAAAAATAATCACGACCAAAAAAGAAAAGAAAAAACCCAAACAAACAAAACAAAACAAAACACCTCTGGCAGACAAATTTATTTGATCTAAACTGGTAGGAAAATTAAACCAAAATGAACAAAAAGCAAGAGGCTTTAAAATCAGAAAAAAAGAAATCGCCTGGGCTCAGTGGCTCAGCCTGTAATCCTGTGCTTTGGGAGGCCAAGGTGAGTGAATTGCCTGAGCCCGCGGGTTCGAGACCCACCTGGGCAACTTGGCGAGACCTCATCTCTACAATAAATTAAAAAAAAAAAATTAGTCGAGTGTGGTAGCGTGCGCCTGTAGTTCCAGCTACTTGGAAGGCTGAGGTGGAAGGATCGCCAGAGTCCAGCAGGTTGAGACTGCAGTGGCCGAGAGCGTGCCACTGCACTCCAGTCTGGGCAACTGAGTGAGACTCCAACTCAAAAAAAAAAAAAGAAATCAACAATTTCTCATTAAGTATGCTGTTTAAATCCAACATGTAAAATAATATACAACTCAGTCATTTCTTTTGAGCTTCCCAACCACTTTAATCTGTACTCATTTTGGGGTTTTTGTTTCCTTGTTTAGAGACAGGGTCTCACTCTGTCACGCAGTGGCGAGATCACGGCTTACTGCAGCCTCAAACTTTCTGGGCTCAAGCCACACTCCCCGCTCTGCTTCCACCTCCCAAAGCGCTGAGATTACAGGTGTGACCCACTGCACCTGGCCATTTTTGTTGATTTACAATCTCTATCTTGGATTCCTATATATACCTTCTCTACTGGCTACACTGTAAATATCATAATGGCAGCAGCTATGTCTGATTCATACTGTCAATATGGTGACTGATTTACACATTCAATACTTGCTGAATAGCCAGGTGCAGTGGCTCACGCCTGTAATCCCAGCATTTTAGGAGGTGGAGGTGAGAGGATTTGTCTTACATAGAGATTCAAGATCAGCCTGAGCAACTTGGCAAGACCTAGTCTCTACAACATATTAAAAAATGAGCTGGGCATGGTAGTGCGCACTGCGGTTCCAGCTACTTGGAATGTTGAGGCAGAAGGATGGTCTGAGCACAGCTGGTAGAGGCCACAGAGGCCGTGAGCATGCCCCTGCACTCCAGCCTGGGTGACAAAGTGAGACTCTGACTCAAAAAAAAAAAAAAAACCCCACACAATAAATGAAAAAAAAATGGTTAAAAATGTTATAAGTAACAAAGTCATACATGAACAGAGAGGGTGGAGGAGGATTCACTATGTGACAGGTAACAGCAAAATCATGAAAGCATGAACATCTTTTTCTCTTCATTTATCAGAAGGTATATTAAAAAAAAAAAATCACATGTAAGCCCCAAACCATTTTATTTGCTTATTTTATTTATTTATTTTTATTTGCTTTTCCTCGAAGGAATTAAAGCAAAATTTAGAAAGCATAAACAAGATATTTATCCTCAGATAAACATAGCAACAAAAGTGATCCTATTAAAATATAAATCTGGGAATTTCAAATTCTGACCATAATGGAATAACTAGCGCTAGATGTGCCTTCTGGTCATAAATTACTAGAAACTATACAAAACCTATAAAACATCTCTTTCTAAAAATTAGAGAACAGGTCATACAGGTCTATAATCCCTGAGAGAATGAAAGCAACGTGAACCCTTTCATTGCCCTGGAGATTTCCTAAATTCACTGGAGGATTTAACAGCAGATTAGAAACTAATGAGTGAACCAGAAGACTAGGAAATACAAACTACTCAAAGAGAAGTTAAAAAGAAAAAAGTCTAAGAAATTTATTAGAAGCATAATGACCTGTAACACAATATCAAACATACATGCACAATTGGGATCCCAGAAGTGGTAGGCAGAAAATATTTAAAATAATAGTAGCTGAAAATTTTCTAAAATTAATGAAAACTAAAATCCCCCCAGAACCAGAACCGTCAATGAACCTTATGCTAGAAAATTCATAACCACACCAAGACAAGTCATAAACTACTGATAAAGAGAAAATCTTAAAAGCAGCAAGATGGAGGAAAAAGCACATTACAAACAGGAGAACCAAGATAAGCAATAGTTTCTCTTCAGGAACAAAGAAAATAATGGAGAAAAGAAGTACTGGAAGAAAAGACAAAACTGTAAACCTTAAATTTTATATCCTGTGAAAATATTCTTCAAAGATAAAGGCAGACATTTTTGGACAAAGCTGAGAATAAAACTACACCAAAAGGAATATTAAAGAACATTTTTCACACTAAAAAGAAATGATACCAAATGAAAATCAGTTATCTACACAAAGAATATTGAATGAAGAACAAGAAATCCCCAGTCCCTAACTTTTGCATAAATTATCAAAAACTGGTATCACTGATCTTACCAGATTTTGAGTGGGGGTTGGTTGCAGTTTCAATTAGTATCAGTTTATCATTGGTTCAAATGCTTTGAAGATGAGTTCAGATTTCTATGGAGGACAGCCCTGAAACTGATAAGTTTTGATCCCTAGTCTGATACTACCAGACCAGGGATCTATAAACTATAGCCTGACAGTTGCACATCGTTTAACGTATAAAGTTTTATTAGAACATAGCCATGTAATTCACTTACATATTGTTTATAGCTACTATGTATAAAGTTTTATTAGAACATAGCCATGTAATTCACTTACATATTGTTTATAGCTACTACTATGTTACAATGGCAGAGGTGAGTAACTGTGACAGAAAGTTCAAAGGCTCAGGTGTCTGAAATATTTGCTATCTGTCATTTTAAGAAAAAGTTTGGCAATTCCTATGCTAGACTCTGAAATTGCATAGCTGCAAGACTTCAAGACTGTGAGATACCATAAAACAATAGGACTTCAAAACCATGAAGCTATGAGACTGAGAAACTAAGAGATTGGAGGCTTCAAAATTTTGAGACCATGAAACTGCAAGATCCCATGAAACTGTAAGATCTGGAGATCTCTTCTTCTTTAAAAGACTTTTGTTAGAGCAGTTTTAGGATTACAACAAAAATAAGCAAAAGCAACATACTGTCATACTCCCATCCTCCCACATACATAGTCTCTTCCATTATCAACACTCCCATCAGAGTCGTATGTTTGTTACATCTGACGTACCTACACTGACATATCATTATCACCCAAAGCCCTCAGTTTACATTAAGATATTGGTGCTGGTGTTATACAGTCTACAGGTTTGGACAAATGTATAATGAGATTCATTCACTATTTTATAGTATCACACAGAATTGTTTCACTGCCCTAATAATCCTCTGTGTTCCACCTATTTATTTCTCCCTCCTTACTAACCCGACAACCACTGATCTGTTTACTGTCATGAGATATCGTTTAACTTTTCAGCCTGCCTGTCATCTTATCAAAATTCCATGAGAGAATTACCAGGTAGAGACAGACAATTATCTGTGCATTTGTGGTTCCTTCAAATTCACAATATTCTTTGAAGGTTTCTCAAAAGTCTGGCTGGTTTCTCCTCACCCCAGTTAATGCTCTGGCCAGTTCACTCTTCTGCCAGTCTTATCTCCAATCCCAGCATATCTGTCCTCAGATATAAAAGTATTCTATACCACTTAGAAGGGCTTGTCCCTCTAAGTTCAGTTTTATTTTGATTTTAAGATTTCCTTGCATCTACATGTCTTCAATAGCTCTTTTAAAAAGTGTATGATCATGCCGGGCTCAGTGGCTCAGCCTGTAATCCCACACCTTTGGGAGGCTGAGGTGAGTGGATTGCCTGAGCCCGTGGGTTCGAGACTCGTCTGGGCAGCGAGACCTCATCTCTACAATAAATCAATTAAAAAAAAAAAATCAGCTGGGTGTGGTAGCGCATGCCTGTAATTCCAGCTACTCGGAAGGCTGAGGCGGAAGAATCACCAGAGCCCAGCAGGCGAGGCTGCGATGGCCGGGAGCGGCCACTGCACTCCAGTCTGGGCGACCGAGTGAGACTCCAACTCAAAAAAAAAAAAAAAAAAAGTGCATGATTATTTAAGTGGTGATTTCATGTTACTATAGTGGGAATAAAAGCCTTTCATGTCCTACTTCTCAACATAAAGGAGAATTCCCTCTACCTCCAATTATTAATAAACATGATTCTGGAAATACTAATGCAGTAAGACATAAAAATATGTAGTATAATACTAGAAAATAAGAAGCAGTTTATTATTTACATATAAACAGAATGCAAATAAAAAAACTCAAGACAATTCACTAACAAATTACAACTGAGTTCAAAATCTATTAGGATACAAAATAAATATATAAAAATCAGTGCTTTTCCTGTATAGTAACATATAAGAAAAAAGAATATTAGCAACTGTAACTCCCCACAAGAAACAAGTATCTAAAAATAAATTTAAGAAATAAGTGAGATTTTTATAAAGAAACCTTACAGATCACATTAAAGATTTGACTAAATGAAGAGGCATACCATGGACATAAATAGGGCCTAGGCAGAGGTATATCATGTCCTTAAATATAGTAGTTATGGAAGATTGCATTGTAAGGGTAACATAAGCAAAGATCTGAAGGTGGTAAGGGGACAAATCATGAAGAAAACACATTCTAGATGGAGGGAACAAGAACAGAGGAGTCAAGAAGAAAGAAGATGAAAGAAGAGAAGATTAGAGTGGCTGCAGTGGAATTAGTGAGGGGGAGAATAATAACAAGAGAGTAGTAAGAGATTAAGTCAGAGAAGAAATGGGAGTCAGATTATATAGGCCATTGTAAGGACTTCGGTTTTAAGTGAAATAGTGAACCATTGGAGGGTCTGAAGCAAAGGAGTGACATGATCTAATCTACAGTATCACTCTTGTCTGCTGAGTTGAGAATAGCCTGGTGGATAGCAAGAATAGAAGCAGGAAGACCAGTTAA